AATAATAATAATAATAATAATAATAACAGTTGACTCATCCCGACCAGTGGCAGGCATGAAGTATTATACTATAGATTAGATTAGGTTAGGTTAGGTAACGTTTCGAAAATTTTTGTGACGTTCAGACACTTCTGGCCACATCTCGTTACGCCTTTACAGTAACTCACGCCTAGTCACGCTTAGACAAAATTTTCAAATCTTTGTCGTAGTTTAACTATTATGGTGACCTCTCATCAAGCCTTTATTGCAGGTCACGCTTAGTTAATATCTGTCATGTTTCGAAATATTTGGTGATCCCTTGTCACGACGTGAACGCGTGGTCACTAAGTCACGTTTCGGCACACTTACGTTGTGTTACGTACGTCAACAACATTCATGACGTTCCAAACGGAAGTATTTTAACACACAAAGCTTCCTGGTGGATAATGCAGTGATAAGATAAAAAGTCCGGAAAGGATTCATCCTTCTTGCAGAGGGCAGTGAATCCACTGATGCTGCCCAACAATCCTGGTGCCCCATCAGTAGCGATCGCAGACAGCTTGTGCAGAGGCAAACTAATTTCCATTGCATAGGTTTTAAATGTGTTATAAATATTCTCACCTTTTGTTTGCTTTCCGGCAGGTACTAAAAGGGAGCCTCTTGTAGGGAATTATTTAAGAAGTTTAATATTCTTTCATTAGCCAGTGAATTCTTGCTCTCACTATTATCATTTATAGTGGATAATATGGAAAAATTTCAAACAAATTCAGATATCCACAATATAAGAACAAGATACAGATACAACCCTCATATGCCAAATTCTAACCTCAGTAAATATGAAAAAGGAGTTTACTGTACAGGAATTAAGTTATTCAATAATCATCGACCTACTATCAAAAGTTTAAATCACGATATAAAAATGTTTAAGCCAGTGTTAAAAGAGTATCTCCTATCTCACTCCTTCTATTCAGTAGAAGAATTTACATAACCTAAAAAGTCTCAACTATTATCAATACATGTAAGTAATAATGGTGCTGGTTTCTCATCATAATTATTTTGCTGTAATACTGTAGTTCCAAAAATCTGTAAATAGCTGTTATAATTATGTATTTATATTTGTACTAAAAACAAGTATCGTATTTGTGCTATGACCTGTTCTACATCCTTGGCTTAGGCCTATGAAGGATCTATGGAATGTAAATAAATTCTGTTCTATTCTATGTATCATCAATACTGAAGTTGAATCGTACCCACCCACTGTATAATGCAGGAAATTTGTATAAATGCAACCAAGATTAAAAATGCGATAGTTGAAATAGTATTTATTGTATTTGTGTATTTCAGGGTTAACATAGCTTATGGTTTACAGAACTGAAAAGTTTCAGAAACTAAAGGCAGAAGTTGAAAGGCAGAGCAAAAAGTGTAAGTTTGTGCATAAAGCAGAATATGAATAGTATATTTGTAGTATATAGCATGAGTATGAAGTATTTTTATGGTTTATTTTTATTCTAATCTGTGCCTGAATCAGGTTGGCCATGTAATCTGCAGGAACAGGAGTGTTGCAGAATTACTTGGTCTGTCAAACCAAATGTTGAGATTGTTGAGATATTTCCTTGAGTGGATTATGACACAGGTGCCTACAGATACTGGTATAGAATAAACCACCCACTTGTTGTATGAGTTGTTATAATAAAAGACCAGTGTTAGTGTAGGTACATTGTGCACTGAATTCATTGTAGCTGTGCCATTGGGTGACATCACAAAAAGGGAATGTGGAAAGATTGGGAAAATCCTAATAGCTTATTTTCGTGTTGTGCTTATCATATCGGAGTAATCACTTGTGTTTCATCGACTAATCATTATGCTTTGAATGGTGCAGTGAGACTAAACATGCCATCGCAGTGGCCGCGTGGTCTGAGGCGTGGGCCTTGTGTCGCTTGGTCCGTGGGTTCGAATCCCACTCAAGGCATGGATGTTTGTCCGCGTCTCTGTGTACAGGTAGAGGCCTTGCGATGGGCCGATCCCTCGTCCAAGGAGTCCTACCAACTGTCTATAGATCAAAGTCAACAAAGGTTGGGACCCGCAGATGCTCAAGGCACTGAAGAACGGGTCGTCTAAGTAAGTAAGTGAGACTAAAATCATCATTTGTTTAGGATGGAGCATCTCCACAAGCATTATTGGCTGCAAGCAGTTTGTTTATAAACTTGCAGTGGTTGTGAGAGGCTAGAATGAATGCAGTGCACATATACTGAGAAATGACTGTCTTACTTTCCATCTTCCTTGCAGTGCAAAAGAGGAGATTCTCTGGACAAACAAGATAAAAAGAAGATTGAGCGTGAAGAAGAGAAACTTAAGAACAACAATCGTGATCTCTCACTTGTGAAGATGAAATCTATGTTTACCACAGGCTTTACATTTACAGCCTTATTGAGCATGTGAGTTATATAATAGTCTGTAAATTGTGATTAAAATTTGATAGGCAATGCTGATTATTTGGTTTGGAAGGCATGGGCTATAAAATTAAGGTATTAGTGCTTTGTGATCTTAACACAAAAGTGAAGGCTGTAATGTTGTAGACAAAAGGATTGTACACGTTCTCCAGTTTTAGATTGGGTTTACAGACATATTTCTAATTTGCAGTTTTTATGTTTTGGTTTTATTTATTTTAGATTTGATGTAAGAGTAGTTGCAAGGTTGCCATTTGTCCCAGTCTCATGGATTCATGATTTGTCACACCGAAACTTATCTGGAGATGACTACACCGAGTGTTCCTTTATCTTTCTAAACATTCTTTGCACCATGTCTATGGTTTCGTGATGCTTCAAAAATTGGATTTGCAACTATTTTTCTGTGTGCTTTATTTATGATTCCCACACTTTCAACAAGATTCTGTGAGGTTGTGGGTGAAGTTGTTTCTCTTTTATTGAAACGTACTTTCCTAATGTTCCAAGGCGAGTTGTCTTTTGATGCTTAAATATTATTCAGAGAAAACTTTGCTTCCTGACAGAGAATGAGGGTCTGTTCTGTATGCCAGCATCGGAAAATACACTGGGTCCTGCTTCAGAATTTATTGTCAGCATTGGCATTTAGTGAATTAACTAATCTATAGCATGGTGTTTAAAATTACAGCTGTTAACTTTGAAAGCAGTGAGAAACTGACTGACAAGTGGCCACCAAAGTTGCTGCTACGTATACATCTTTTTGGGACACTCTGCATAGTGTTTGATCCGTGGCATGCAGGGTGCTGATTTATGTGAATCTATGCTTTGTAATTTGTTTCTGCATGTAACATAATCTAATAAATACATATGAAATGGATGGCACATGCCTTTAAAATTTCTCTTCTTATATGGGAAATATCTTTACATGGGAAACATTTAAGTGGAATTTATATACGTTATTCTTATGGTGATATTTTGGAACCCAGCTATTTTAATTTCTTAGTTAGGAAACCATCTTAAACAGGATCTTGTCAAGTTGGATTGACTGTTTAGTTATTGTCATATGAAGGATTCGAACTATTCCTAAAGATAAATACGTTATTCTTATGGCGATGTTTTGGAACCCAGTTATTTTAATTTCTTAGGAAACCATCTTAAACAGGATCTTTTCAAGTTGGAATGACTTTAGTTATTGTGAAATGAAGGATTCCAACTATTCCTAAAGAGTACCATGGAGACTGTAGCTAGTTTGTGAGAACTTTCTTCAAGTGGAAGGAAATTAATAAGTAAAAATTTTCATCATCATCTCCATGGTTTTGCCTATTATAGATTGTTCCATCTCCAAGGAATTTTCTGTTCGAGTAAATAGGATACAGTACTCTGCAGTTAAAATTAGTCATACCAACGTTTTTGTGGGCGGCCTTTGCCTCATTTGCCTTTAGGTTTGTATTTATACATTTTTTGTGGAATTCTATTGGCTTCCATTCTCTCTATAAGCATTAGCCAATTCCTTTGATGTTTGCATATTAAATTAAAATTATAACAAAATAAATTAAATTATGGAACTTTTAGAATAGTCATGGTAAATTTTTGTCACGTGTGAAGCTTTGCAGTTTGTTTTCAAAATTGATGGAATCTCCCACTGAAGAGAAAAGGGTTGATTCTGAAGCATTGTGTGAGCTTTGGATTTTCAAATGGGGACCATTCTAAGTATGCAACTGACATAATACAAAAGATTAAGTTAAAAGTTTCACCTGACCACTTAAGGTTTTGTCACCTGAGGGTCAAATAACAAGACAGAGATCCTGTTGTTTTGTGTTGATGTGGATTTCTTATGTTGGTAAGATCATTTTGTCTTTGTTGAGCAAATTTTATGACTTCTGCAGGGAAAAAAACTGAAGTTTATGTTCTATTTTCAGAACATCCAGAAAATGTTGGGCTTTGCTCCATCAAGAACTGCAAGCAAGCAGAGTGGCAGTATATTTGGTCCTCCACCTCAACAGTTTAAGTGATGTGTGTCATTCTTAGTAATGTTGGATTCTGTTTCTGGGTATTGGTCTAAGTTTTGGTGAGGGAACTATTGTGATATTTTAGGTTTTTACAGTGGTCAGAATTTATACTGATCTGTGGAGTTAATTAGTTACAAATATTGCAAATTCTTTATACTCTCAAGAGAATAAAGATCAGAGATATAGTTAATTGGGACACATCGGTACTAGAACACTTTGGCCCAATTATGTGAAGTTCCACATAAAGAGTTAAAAGGGTTTGTTCTTTAAGATTTGTCCCAAAAAAACAGCTGCCCCGATTAACCGATGGCCCAATTAATTGGAATCTACTGTATATCATTGGTAAGATGGCATACTACTCTTTAAATATTGGTTTTTTCCATTCATCTTCTTTTCCAACTTTTTGTAACTTCCGCCTCCATTAATCTTCACGTTTCTCGAGCCGTTTTACATCTTTCTGGTTAAGCACCTATGAACCAGACATTTAAGCGCACAGTTTTTAAAGAAATGTAAAGCTGTTTGTGCCTGATTGTGCACCAAACCTTGCAGATGTATGGAGCAGCGGAAGTACAGCTTGACACATTCCTAAAACTGAATAATTAAGTACTGAAGGATAAGACAGTTATTTTCTTCTTTCCAAAGACGATGTATTCATTAGGTTTAAATTACAAGACACTTTTAACCTTTCCATCAGCAAGTTTGATTTCTGAACTGTCTTGTCTCTTCAGTAGAGGTTGTGATGATAACAGTCCTTCTTGCACACCATCAAAAGAGAGACTACCCAAACTGGAGCCAGAACCTTGTCTTGAATGGTGCCCTTTGGATAATATTCTGTGGAGGGTTACTCAGAGCTAGTTTAGTAGGATCACTACCTGTCTCCTCTTTGATTTTACTTTTTAAACTGGCAAACATATTTGAAATATGTTTTCCAAATTCCTGAAAATGTTCACAATTTAGCAAGTATTAAAACGCATTATTTTAAAAATATGGTGACGTGGTGAATATGATAAGTGAATTATTACAAGCAGACGACATGCATGGATATCAGCGACTTTTCTTCTACTTACACCTTCAGTCGAACACAATGACCAGAAATACAACCTCATTAGGTTCGACCAATGACACCAAACAGGTGACATATTGTATTGGCTATGGGTCACTGTGTAAACGATGTGTTATAAATGTGAAACGAATTCATTTCCACAAGACAGCTGCCATGTTAGCTGACGTCATTGAAAATCGCATTAGGTAATCGTAGCCTATGTCAAATTCATTTGTTAGGTTATGGTGTGCATATAATGTACAAAATTGAGTAATAAATCAGTATTAATGGATGTTTAATATACAGTAGGCTTATTGAGATTATTTTTATGCATATTTGTCGTTATAAATTGGGCTTGATATTTAATGAATGTAGTACGCGATTTCTGCAAGAGATGTCGCAGAATGTAATGTCCATATTAATTGACATCTACTATAGTATCAAGTCCTGAAACACGTGTGAATTTGAAGTGAAGTTGAAGTGAATTACGTGTGTTCAAACGGTTTCTTGTGGCAGTTGCTTTGATTCATGGCAGAGTTAATAGATGTGTTGTATAATTTTGTGTCATAATTTTTTATTATGGATTCACCTGCACCAGATATAACGTAAGTTATTTCATACATATGACTGGTTGAATTGCGTACCTTATTTGTGTGGTATTTATATATGAAGGGGAAAGAAGTGCCATAACCTCACACATCGTTTGTATGAAGATCTCATTATCGAACAAAAATAATACATCTTCATAAATTTTCATTATTTTTCTCAAGATATTTCAAATGAGAAATACTAACAAAATATATACAGATAGGAATCAGTTGTCTACCAGATTCAGTCACCAGTATGATAGACTGATATATATTATATAGCATGTGGTGGTGTCACAATTCAAGGAAATTTGTAGCAATTCTATTGGCTATTGCAAATGCATTTGACGATGGACTTGAACTGCTATCCAGAATTGAAAGCTGTGGTAAATGTTTTAAGCAAGTGTGGCCAAGACTTCCATTGCAACTGTTAACAAGCAACCCATAAGTCACTTATGCACCAAGTAGTTTGTTCATGGTTTTAGTAATCCTGCTTTGACTTTGGGAGGTGTCAGCTTCAAATTTCAACCTGAAGATTTGCTGCCCTAATTGAGGTGTTTGTATCTTTTATCAGTCGCTCGAGGCAAATGCTGGAATAATGCCTTAAATTAAGTCATGACTGTTTCCTTCCATATTCTATCCATCTCATTATTCTTCATATTATTTGATTTCATATAGTGAGCTGCTGACAGAATCATTAAATAACTCATAAATAAAGTAAATGTGATATTTTGCAGTGAGGTTGTATTTGTGTCTCCTTGTGTAAAAAATCTTGAAAGAGAGCTACTCTTTTTAGTTAGCCATGTACAATCATCCTGTTTTTTCTGTTCAGGTTCAATAATTTGTGTAGTTTATAGGGACTTGAAGCTTTGCAGTAACTAAAACAATAACATCTTCTTGGGTAATAAGTTGCTACCTTCTCT